CCTTTTTTAAAATCGCCAGTGATAATTAAATCAGCGATTCCTGTACCAGAAGCTTTATTGAGAAATCTCCTGAATTCATCCAAGAACGTCTCTTCAGCGTCTGGTGGTCTGTAAAAAACTGCAAATAATAGACATCGTGTATTACTGGTCTTTAATTCACAGGCTAGCATCTCCGCATTTACCTCAAGATCGTATCTCCGTACACATGGCAGGTGTGATTTAGTTGCGAGCAACACTCCTCCACCACGCCTACCACGTCTATCCCGACGAAGGATACTATAACCCTCAAGATGTAGATCACGGTCATCAAATTCATTGTCTAACCAAGTCTCCGTCAAGGCAACAATGTCAAAGGAGTCCATTAATAACAAAGCATTTAGGTCGTTGATCTTGTTTCGAATACTCCTCGTATTTAATAATAAGCACTTGGAGAAGCCATTAGCAGAGTGAGGGGAAGATTCCGCAGAGACATCAGAGCTTAAGCTTACATTCTGCCCAGTTGAGAAGGACGACTCAAAGAATGAATCAGTGAAGTTAAAAGGCCACCCACAATTTTTGTCACAGAACCACTGCTCATCAGAAGACCCCAAGTCAATATAAGCCTGTAGATCCATGGTAATGCACTTTAGGTGGAACCATTTGTTACAACCATCGCAGAGAATCCCTTTCTGATTGGAGCGAACAGACTTCGTACATACATCACAAGGGCACTTCCAAAGAGGTTTTTTGCGAGTTGTGGATAATCCCGGAGATAATGACTGTTCTGGTCCAGGGTTTATTTCGATGTCTCCACATTGTACCAATCTTGAGATATTAAATGTAGAAACAGAATTGGGATATCGAGTCAGGTCTGTACCAAAATATCCCTTCGCACGTGTTCCAAGATGGCGGACTCGCGATGTCAATGCAACAAAGAAGTTTCGAGTCGTCTCCAAGTCTATGACGCCTCCAACAAGATGCAGACGAGTCTTGGGATGAGATAGTCGTATTTTGAGGAAAGTAAAACTATTACAGGCTAAGAAACAAACTAAAAAAGCGGTAAAAACAGGAGGGAGGGAAAACTTACAACCAGCCGCCATGACTACCGCTGACGTACCGCTGTACCTCCCGGGCCAAATAAAGAATTAATTAGGTTAAGCAATGGTATTGGTGGAAAGGAATGTACAAAGATGTTGAACATTGATGTAAGTCTTGCACTGAGTGCTCCATGAAGAAATCGCCTAGGAATACCAAAAAGGCACCCTTACTTCCAATTCCAGTGGAGAAATGCTTTTGGTAAGGTGGCTGTTGATGTGTTAGGGCCTTTCCCACCTTCTAATAGAGATAATAGGTACGTTCTCGTTTTCAGTGATTATCTTGCCTGATGGTGTGATGCATTTTCTCTTCTGAGCTATGAGGCAACTGTAATTTCTCTTCTATTAGTGAATGAGATCATTGCCAGACATGGTGCACCTATAGTTTTGTTGTCTGATAGAGGAAGAAACTTCCTGTCTAAAGTGGTCGCAGATGTTTGTAAAGTTTTCCGCATTCACAAGGTTAAAACTTCTAGTTATCACCAGCAGACTGATGGCTTAGTTGAAAGATTTAACTCTACTTTATGTCAATCTCTGTCAATGTTTGTCGCAAAGAATCAAAAGGATTGGGATGATTTTACGCGTGACATGAAGGCTGTGGGTATTGACACAGAGACCTGGGAAAATCTCACAGCTGATTGGTCACAATGGAGAGGAACCGTGACCGTTCAAAACCTCTGTGATTTCACAAATGCTTATGCTCAGGAACACATTGCTGACAATCCAACCTATCAAAACAAAGCCAAAGGCTGGGATTTGATATCTGTCACGGAAATGTATGGTTTTATTGCCTGCTTGATTTATATGGGCTTCATGCAGTTACTTCAGCAAGAGTATTACTGGTCCTCTGCATCATTGTACAATGGCAACTGGGCTCGTCGTATGATTTCCCCCAGGGCAATCATGGCATTTTTCAGATGTAATGATCATACAGTTATGGATAACAATGACAAACTCCGACAAGTAATATATCTGATTGACCATGTCAAGCAGTCCTGCCAAGAATTTTCCAATGCAGCAAGGAAGTTGAAGTGGACGAGAGGATGGTGTGATCGAAGCACAGATCTGGTATGAGACAATACAATAAAGACAACCCCACAAAATGGGGTTTGAAACTGTGGGTCCTGGCCGATTCAGATACACATTACACTTATAATTTCAATGTGTATCTTGGAAAGGCCAGAACAGCAACATCAGGAAAACGGCTTGGCTATGATGTGGTCTTGGAACTAACAGAGTGCTTGCATCAACAAGGTTATCATGTGTACACTGATAATTACTATACCTAGCTTCCTCTTCTGGTGGACTTGAAACAACTGGGACTTCTAGCCTGTGGTACAACATCAGCAATCAGAAAGCGTTTTCCAAAAGAAATGAAAACAAGTGGTACATGGGCCAAAAAGGTGAACCGTGGAAAACAAACGTGGCGACGGTTTGATGAAGGTGTTCTTGGTATCCAGTGGAAAGACAACAAAGTTGTTAGTATGCTGAGCACCATTCATAGAGGAAGTGACAATGTCTGGTGTAGATGGCGATGTAAGGATCCTCGCACAGGAAGGTTCTCTATCAAAGTCTTGAAACAGAATGGTGGTTCTGGATCGTCCTACCCAAAGGAGGAGATCGCTGACATATTGGGCCTGGACGCTGAGCGTAAACCACTACATGTGGCTGTTTTTGGAGCAAAGTCAATTGTGACAGATAGCAAAACTGTAACTGTGCACCTAGAAAGTATAGATGGGAGCGTTAAGAAGTGTGTATTTCTGTGGACAACCCCCAAAATTTGTGAAATGAAAGCAGTTGACTGGTCACCCAATGCAAGGAAACTAGACCATCTTCGTGATTTGGAGATAGAGAAGCCAGTTGAACATGGAGAAGTTGATGTACTGATTGGAAGTGATTATTATGAGGAACTTCTTCTACCACTTCAACATCGCACAGGAAAGCGGGGGGAGCCTGTTGGGATAAAGACACCACTTGGATGGACAATTGTTGGACATGTCTCAGAAATAGCAAATGAGGGTAATATTGCTAACCATGTCTACACATTCCATGCAACCTTTACACCGGAAATGAGGGCCGATGAGTTGATGTGGAAGGTGTGGGATGAAGAATTGCTGGGAATCACTAACCAAAACAAGTCTTTGACTGTAGAAGAGGTGCTTGCTATTCACAAGGTAGCAGAGTCGAGGTGTTATGCTGAGGGACGTTATGAAGTGGCAATTCCATAGCAAGACGATGAACCACCATTGTATTAGAACAGGAATACTGCTGAGGACCGGCTCTACTCTCTTGAGAAGCACTTACAACAAAGGCCAGACGTTGCCGAGAAATATTGTCAGGTGATGGAAGCAAATGAAGCCAAGGGTTACATCCGGAAACTGGAGCCAGGAGAAATTGATGATGGCCCAAGTTGGTACCTACCTCATTTTCCCGTGGTAAGAGAAGATAAAGAGACTACCAAAGTGAGGATAGTGTACGATTCAGCAGCCAGATACGGCGGAGTAAGCCTCAATGATACCATGTTGGCTGGACCAAAACTGCAGCAAGATATCTTTGACGTGCTATTGCCTTTCCGCAGTAATCCGGTAGCCCTGGTGGCGGATCTGATGGAAATGTTCTCGCAAGTCGTCATGGCGAAGAAAGATAGACGGTACCACTGCTTCCTGTGGCGAGGCCTAGACCTCTCAAAACCCCCTGAAGTCTATGAAGCAGTGAGATTAGTGTTTGGTGATCGTGCTTCACCTTACTTGGCCCAGTATGTTGTGCGACAACATGCAGAAGATAACAGAGATAACTACCCGCTAGTAGTGAACATTATCCTATTACAGATGTACATGGATGACATTATGACCTCATTGGAGACGGATGATGAAGCGATTGAAGCTTGAGACCAGCTTAGAGAGATGCTTGGCAAGGCAGGCTTCAAAATACGGCGTTTGTGTAGTAACAGGCCAGAGGTACTTAGAGATGTTTCTGTGGAAGATCGTGTGGCGAATGTTAACATTGAGGAGTCTGAACTACCTTGCATGAAGGCGTTAGGAGTGCAATGGAATGCTGAGACGGATATGTTTACCTTCAAATTGAACCCCCCTCAGGATGTTGTCTATACGAAGCGTGGGTTCTTAAAGAAACTAGCCATGCTGTTTGACCCATTACACATGCTAGCACCATTCACAGTTAGGGCCAGGATGGCTATGCAGGAGACGTGGCTACTGGGTTTAGGTTGGGATGATGAGTTCCCCAGTAACTTAAAGAAGATGTGTCAAGAATGGTTCAGTCAGTTACCTGAACTTTCTGGAATCCAAGTTCCAAGGTGCTATCATGTTGCTGAGAAAATTGTGGAAGACGCCTCTATCCATACTATGGTGGATGCATCGTTGTTGGCCTATGCTGCTGTAAGTTATGCGCGGCATAAATATGAAGAGGGAGAAGTGACTGTGCGATTTACTGCAGCGAAAGCGAAGATTGCACCTATGAAGGCGACATCAGTCCCAAGGCTAGAACTAATGGCAGCAGTGTTAGGTCTTAGACTGGCGAGGAAGGTGTCAGAGCTGTTACAGATACCTTTTGAGAACTGTACACTATGGACAGACAGTAAGGACATCATTTTCTGGATTCAGGGGCAGTCGAGAAGGTATAAGACTTTTGTTGCTAACTGAATATCAGAGATCCATCAGAAGTCTAGTCCCAGACAATGGCGAGATGTCCCCACCGATTTGAACTGTGCGGATGATGCAACTCGCAGACTACATGCGAAGGTGCTGACAGGTGAACAATGCTGGTTTAGAGGAACTGAATTCCAGAGTGAGCATGAAGATGCCTGGCCTCAAGGAAAATGCACAGTGCTTGAAGAACGTTCAGAAAAATGTCTCGCTGAGATAGTCAAACCGAAGATGACCTTTGCAATAGAGATTTCACAACCGTTGATGAATCCACTAAAGTATTCTAGTTGGAACCGACTTAGAGGAGTCACGGCATGGGTGAGACATTTTGCTGATTTGTTGTTAGCCAAAGTAAAGAATAAACAAGGCGAACCTTTAGATGTTGTTACCAGGAGCAGACTTACATTGACACCAACTGAAATAGACAGAGGTGGAAAACTGTGGGTGAAACAAGCACGGGAAGAAAGATTTCCAGAAGAGATAAAAGATCTGATTGGAGGAAAAGACGTCAGAGGACAGAACCACTTGAAACTCCTTACCCCTATTGTGGATGAGCTAGGTATAATGAGTCGGAGGGAGGATTGGACCGAGCAGAACTATCTTACGATGCAGCACACCCCATGATCTTGCCAAAGAAACATCACATCACCCAATTAATTGTTGCAGACGTGCATAACCGTTGCCGACATGCAGGCTTCAACCACGTGCTAGCTCAGGTACAAAACCGATACTGGGTTATAGATGGTCAACAGGAGGTGAAGAATTGGGACAAGGAATGTAAGATGTGTGAGAGAAGACGTGTACAGCCATCAGTGCAGATCATGGCACCACTTCCAAGGACCAGAGTTGGAACAACGATGAGAGCGTTTGCATAGTGCTGTGTTGATTACGCTGGCCCCTTCACGACCAAGATTACTCGAAGAGTTTCTGCTAAAAGGTATTTGTGCCTGTTTACGTGCTCAGCAACCAGTGCGGTGCATCTAGAAATGGCATGTTCATTGAGCGCCACAGATTTCCTGAATGCGTTCAGCCGAATGGTAGCCACCAGGGGAAGACCGGAAGAAGTTACAAGTGACAATGGGACAAACTTTGTAGGAGCAACCGCCTCCCGGTTAGCTCAATGGATAGAGCGCTGGACTGTTGTGCGGGAGGTCGAGGGTTCGAGCCCCGGCCGGACCAACACTCAGGGTCTTAAAAATAATTGAGAAGAATTTGCTACCTTTCTATAACATCAAGAAATGGTTAGATATTCTAGTCTTCTCGGATAGGGACGAATAAATGGAGGTCCCGTCTCCTGCAGGGTTGGGGTAGGAGACGTTAATTTCCCACACACGAGATTACTGTGTGATGGATGTCCTCCCCTGGGGTGGGATGGGTGGGATATAGGGCGCACTTAATTTGGAGCCTCGCTCTGTTGTGCGACCCTCACCACACTCTGGTGAAAGTGATTAAATAAGCAGAGAGAGAGCTCAGAGAACTTGTTCAAGCAATGGACCAGGAACAGATCGCGGGTAATGTTGGCAATGACGGGATCAAATGGAATTGGAATCCTCCATTGGTATCGCACTTTGGAGGGGTATTTGAGTCGCTGGTTAAAGTAGCTAAGAAAACTCTGAAAGCAATAGTTGGAAATGCTGGGCTAACCGATGACGAGCTGCACACTGCTATCAAGGAAGTAGAAGCATTGATGAACTCGAGACCATTGACATACGAAGGAGCTGACCCGCAAGACGAGCCAGTATTGACACCTAACCACTTCCTAGTTGGGCAGCTAGGAGGACAACTAGCACCTCAAGTTGCCGATGACATCGTGTTTAATCCCAGGCACCATTGGAGACTGATTCAGAACCTGGTGAGATTGTTCTGGAAGCGCTGGAGAGAAGAGTATCTCTCAACACTTAACACGCGAAAGAAATGGAGAGAGGCCAAAGAAAACCTGAAGGTCGGGGATGTTGTTGATCAGAATGCCCCACGCGGTCAGTGGCATCTGGGTCGAGTGGAAGAGGTGTTCCCAGGTCAGGATGAACAGGTGCACGTCGTCCAAGTGAGCACAAGGGGCCAGAAATTTATAAGCCCGATAACTAGGCTATGCCCGTTGGATGTCGCTGGCCATGATAAAGCCCCAACACCCAGTAAGAGGAGCTCCTCTTTCATTGGCAAAAGCCTCAGGATCAAGCCATACCAAGTCAAGACTATCTAAGAGGTGGTGAAATGTGTCATAGATATCATCTATACTCTGAAATCCATGGAAAGCACAGCAGTGTGAATGTGTATTGTTTTCTTGCGTTTTTTTTCCTTTTGTTTGTTTTATCGTTTTTAATGGGGTGGGTTGTTTAGAACCACACATGGGAATATCATTTAATTACTCTAACTGCAAAGAGAGTGGGGAGCAGAGTGGGGAGCAGAGTGGGGAGCAGGGTTGGTGCAGTGGTGGGAGCACTCGCCTTCCACCAATGTGGCCCAGTTTCAATTCCTGGACTTGGCATCATAATTGGGCAGAGTTCTATGGTTCTCTCTCTACTCTGCTCTGAGAGGTTTTTCTCCAGGTACTTTGGTATTCCCCTTATTATTATTATTAGTAAAGAGTTATTCTAATGAATATGATGAGTTGAAATTTTCCCTCTAAAAGCAAAACTCAAGTTAAACAAACAAAATGTACTGTAATACTCTGTACACGCGTCTATAGGGAGAACATTTTTTTATAGGGCCACCTCCCTCGCGGCCCTCACATTAAGCCTTCAAAAATCCGCCTTTTCATCCAATCATCAAACTTTATCACTCTCTCACAATCAAACACTGCCTTCCACAAACTCGAGACTGTCACAGGAGTATACTCCACTCTCTATTCTATAAGGGGTAACAGTTTTTTAAAGGCCCAACTCCCTCTCAGCCCCCACATTAAGCCTTCAAAAATCCGCCTTTCATCCAATCATCAAACCCCAGATGACGACACAGCCCTGCTTTAAAAAGTCCATGATCTCACCTAATCGGCCTCTATTCCTTCCAAACGCTGCCAACCAAACCACGTAACAAGCAACGTAAGGGTTAAAACAAACTCTTTTTCCTGCAGAAAAAAAGGATGGCCTCTCTTGTAGACCTGTGCTATGCTTCCGACAACGACCAATTAGAAAGCCAAGACTTTTAGGATCATACCACTCAAGATCCCCCGACTTTGACTCCATCACCCGTAAGCCATGAGGCACAAGCAACAGAGCAAGAATCACCACAACCAGATTGCCTTGGCCAATTGGACAGCCTGCACCATTTGACTCCTAAACGAAAAGGACCCACTTACACCCTAAGTCCACAAGATATCCCACCAGATGTGGACGTCTTTCTAGATACTGTTTCCAATTACCTCACTAGAGCGGTGAACCATGAATGACAAAGTCCAGCCCTTGCGCAGTCCACTTTCCTGAAAGGACGTGAGCGTATGATGTGTAAGTCAATACATCGAGACTTTGAACACCTATTATTTTAATCTTGCACTTATTCGCAATCAATTATCTTGCTTGCTTGCTTCCTTGCTTGCAAGCAAGCAAGCAAGCATGCGCCACACCTGACCTGATATTCTTTTTCATCTCAAGGCTACCTTGGATTTTAGAAGAGATATCTTGGAATGGGCCTAGCACCAGAGGTTTTTCTCCGCCTAAATCTCATGGAATAATATTCCACTTTCTAAGGGTGAATGCAGATTTGAGTTTTGGCAAATGTTTCTTGTCGCTTTTAGGAAATAACTTTCCAACAAAAACTGCAAAACTGTTTCAAGCCATCTGATAGGATGCCAAAAAAAAAGGAAAAGAAAAATCAGAAATTGTGCCATATTTTCAGGGTAGATTGTGCAATAAGATAGGACCATTGCACCCCATAAATTATTTGAATATTTCAGGCTTCATTGTTTGACCAACTTTCAAAGGACAAGAACCGCTTGAAAGATGTTTAACGTCATTTACATTTACATTTATATGGCACAGACTTCTATGTGGATATATTCAGTCACGCTTAACATTATCGTTAGGTTGAAATTGGACGTCAGCATTTTCATCAGGTGCCTCTGGCAGCCGCTTCAGTCCATGTAGTCACCTTCCCACCCATCCCACCCCAAAGAAGACATCCACTACACAGTAATCTCGTGCATGGGAAATTTATGTCTCCTACCCCTAACCCTGCAGTAGACGAAACCTACGGCTTTACTTTCTATCCAAGAAGACGAAGCAATGTGAGTGAAGTGTCTTGCTTAAGGACATAATGCCATGCCCCAACCAGGACTTGAACCTGGGCCAACAGACCCAGAGTCCAGCACAGTGACCACTATGTGCTCGAGACAAAAGGACACTTGCTTGACAACATTACATGACATGCCCTTAAACCGCTCACCATAAAGCTCATCTCTGAAAGCAAAATGGCTGCCAGATTTAGATGGTCAGCTACCTTTAAGTCACCACATTTCTTTAATTTTTTTCTTGGTTTTACATGACCTTCACTAACCTGGATTTACTCAAATGTTGTTGCTAGGATGGGAGACAATGCGATTTGGCAACAATTTCAAACCACGTCAGCTCACTGCTTTATCCGGTGAAGTTTCTGTATAGGGAACATGGCCCAGGATTCAAGGATGTTCAAGTAATTTGTCAGTTGAGAGCACAGGAAACAATATTTCAAAAACAAGGTGACAGGAAACGGCTGTCATTGCGAGAAGAGTTAGAAGCCCTAAATTGCTGGCTACCTTGGTGAGTTGTTTGCTTTGTGTAAAACTCAAGTACAAAAATCTTGAGTTGTTGTTTTTGCATTTGGCCTTTGCAATGTCAAGTCTGAGTACCTGTAAACTGGCAAATTAAGTTTTTCTCTGCTTTTTAACATGTCTATTTATTCATTAAAGGATGAATAAGCTTAGATGAATTATTTTCAAGACTTAAATCAAGCCCTAGGGTTTCACAGTAACCATCAATCCTGGTTACCGAGCTCGAGGAATAACAAAAAACGGTTTCCCATTGACATATTGAACCTTACCGATCCAAATTCACTTCATGTAAGTTTTTCTTCCCTGTGATTCTCAACTAATAAGGCAATTGTTTGGTCGTTTTTCTGGTTAACATACACGGAACTGAAACGTTTATCTTCTCTCGACCGCCATCTTGTATCGTTTGCAAAGTGCTTTGTGCGGTAATTGTAGCCCACAGTCACTCACGCACGTAGTTTTTGCACCATTTCCATGGTTGAAAGATTCTTAATCCACTTCTAAAGTGACTTCGAACTCCCCCCAAAAAAGCTTGAAACCGGACGTATTAGTTTAAGAACTTCATAGTAAAGTTCGTTGTTCTTGGTCCTTTTAAGCCTGCATGTTTTCATCCCACCATCCCGGGGTCTTGAGATACGCACTCTTTGTATTGTCACAGAGCCAGACAGCTTGGAGGCACGACAGCGGAAGGAACAAAATCTGCTGGTGATGAGGGAAAATTCACTTGTGCTCCACTTTAATGATTACAAAACCAAAACCAAAACCTCCTCTGGACGGGATGAGCTAACTCTGCAGGTAAGATCAGGACTCAGTTTTTTAAAAAGCACAAAACACTCTTTTAGCACTGATGAAAAGAAAATTCATACCTGTTGCAAAGTCTTTGCGAACAATATGCTTTCCAAAATACAGTTTTTATGTCAGCTCAAGGGAAAAAAGAAATGGACAGCATGTTTTGTTTGCCAAGTCGCAGACGGAGAGGGAATGGGTAGATAGTTATTTTTCTTGGATTATGATGGATGTGTAGATTTTGCTGATTTCACATTACCAAAGGCACAATACTCATTACTGTGCGAAGAGTTTTCCCATTGCTTTCTAAAAAAGGGAAGTCAACTGAAAAAAGGTTTGTCCTTTTTAGCATGGCCACAAGCTATAAAAAGTTCTTGTAAATTACATCAACGAGTTTCGTTCCCGCCTTACAGAGGAGGACAGTGGGGACTTTTTCCTTTTGGTAAGTCGATTCAACATATCACCTTCTTGTAAATTACATCAACGAGTTTTGTGCACGCCTTACAAAGGAGGACAGTGGGGACTTTTACCTTTTAATAAGTCGATTCAACATATCACCTTCCACTGGACAAAAGCTTGTTTCGCAGTCTCACTGGAAAATCGGTGACATGCTTCGATCTGCATTCATTACCTGGTCACATGGTAGAGAGTAAGTGGCCATTTTTGTACTACTATACAATTCAGCAAATAAGTCATGCCTTTATTTAATGAGGGCAACACCAAATAGCCTTAACTTTTGCCCCTCAAAACATAAACATACAATTTCAGTTATCAATCATTTAAGAAGTCATTCACGACAACAAGAGATAACTTTGTTATTCTGCGCTGTCAAATTCCACACAGGAAACATTGACCTGGGTTAAACAAATGGGTTTTAAATGATTACTTCGGTTGAATCGTCACTTGTAGCCAGTTTCTGATTTGCTAGATGAATCATGGTAAAGTCTGTTTACAAGCTTAGTGGCCTATTAGGCCGGTGCTTAACTCCGGTTTCTGTAGCATGAAGCGACTAGGAGTATTTCTACTCCTCCCCCCCCCCGATGGGATGCTAG